ATATATATATATATCCATATATCCATAAAAATATACGGAAAAAGTAAAAGTAAGTAAACTTAGTGCCTTTCAACTATCAGTGAAAAAACACTCAATACACCTTATAAATGCTAAAGATAAAGAATTGATGAGGGACACACTAAAGGAGTATAAATAGAAGAAAAAAACAATAACCGTCAGTGAGAGTACGACTTCTCCAACTGGCCAAGTAATCAGCGGTGACCGCGAGGGAACGACTTCGTCTTACAGAGGTGCTAGCGGAAGACCTGTTAGATGTAGGAGTAGAACGAGCAGTCGTCCTCGACTGGTAATGATGTTGCTGTTGTTGTAGGGCCGCTCGTCTTCGATCACTGCTTTTTGTTTCTTTTGGTGGAAGCTCAATTGAGATTGGAGCGTCCAACTGAAATAGTAAATCATGAAATTATCCCACCTTTTCTATCTCATGAGTCTTTCTTCTTCTCAAATAATATTTCCATTACTCTCTCTCTCTCGTCTCTATTCTTTCTTTTAAAAAAACTAAATGCAAATCATTTGAAAATATCATTCAAGCAGTGATCTAATACCATCCATTATTGTCTTACTTCTCTTCATCCTATAATACAAATAAACATTTTACATATATTCATATGTTCATTTATTACCTGTGAGGTCAAAATTTACCTGTGGGTCAGGCACAGGAATATCACCTTCTTTTTTTTCTCCTCCTTCAAAATGTGCCGAGCAGATGCGTAACTGAAATTGACTAGATGGTAAAATATGGCTGGTGTGTTCTTACTTTTTGATTTTTTTTTCTCTTTTTAAATCAGAAATTGCTTCAAAATTATACATCTCAGAATGAAATTCATCTCAATTTGATTGCACAAAAAAGAAAAAGGGACGAAGATATATCAAACTTCACTCGTTAGCTTTGTAAATTAGCGTAACTTATCTTTCTTCCAAATCAAAAATTTCAACACGGTAATGAGTTTACATTCTTTTTACGTTACAATAAGAAAAGCAGTCACTAATGATGTACTAAGAGCAAAAAAATACTTCAACTTTCACAATGTAATAATATTTCACACGCATTAATGCTACATAATCATTAAATAACAGATGGAAAAAAAGTTATCGGGCAGACATCACTAAAAAAAATCACCTAAATTCGAAAAACCAAAAGTGCAATAACACAACAGTTTCAATTAATGTAAGAAAAAATTTAAGCTTATGCCCTCCATTCAAACAAAAAACATTCATCTTAATTTTATTCAAACTTTACTTTACAATTGCTGTCATTTCTATTGATATATAACCTTTGCTTCATATTTTATAGTGTATGGCCTCGTTTCTAATTCCGATACAACCAAAAACGAGAAATTGAAGAAAAGCATCAGTCTCTTCATCAGTTATTTCATTTTTTTTTTCTTGCATACAATTTTATTTGGGATGAATTGCTCATCTTCTGCACTTCAAACAACACCACACTACATTCCTTCTAATACTGCTATCACTGGTTACTTTATCGCTATATCGATAGTAGTGCTTACGATCGAATGAAAACGGCAAAATCATCTAACCACTTTTCTTACGCAAGCTGTTAGAATATCACAACTGACACCTTTCTAACTAATTTCAATTTTAGGGACATATTTAGCTGTTTTTTATGTCTAAACCACACTTATTATATTCGTCAGCACATAGTAATTAAGAAGATATCTTTAATCGAAATGATTACATTTTTAATCGTATTGTTTCAAAGAAAATGGCGATGAAAACTATGTTGGGTTTCCAACCATCATTCAATTAATTGCAGAATGGGCACATACTTGTGAGTAAAATAATTAAAAGCCTAATTAGTATACAAGTAACAGCGAAAAATTGAAAGTTATCTCAAGATTGTTAGTTTTCACATCAGGGATTGATTATAACTAATGTCTGAAGGTAGTAGATTAGTGTTTATAGGTTAATACAGATCAAATACCAATTTCTGCTGTTGATCTATTTTGAGGAAATTTGTTGATATAAGATCATAAATAGTTCATGAAATACAACTTTTAAATAAAAATGCGCTTCAGGGACACACTTCAAATTTGCAAGCAATACACTTGATAAGTTTGTTTACAGTGAAATTAAGCCAACAGCTAGAGCATATTTTCAAAATGACGATGCTATCAGCTAAAAATTAGTGCATCATTAATACAACGAAATAATCACTACCATTTCATGTTACCAAAAAGGTGCTTAAACATCATTGGAAATTTACTTGATGTTTTTCATATGACTACTCAAATTTTACAATTAAAATAAACCACTGACCAAGTATACTTCTGGTAGTGAACTGCTTCAAAAAGCAAAATAAGGTAACAACGGAATTAGTGATTTCATGCACATAATTTCACAACCAAAATTATGTGCTATGCTAATGAATTAGGGAAAAACAACAGTACTTTGATTAATTCAAACATAGCCATTTGACAATACAAGCTTAAATGCCTAACTCTTAAAGAACAAAAATTATAGTGCAAGATCACACAGGCTTTTGATATGGCTCAAACTTACGAAGCAAATATTAGCATTCCTATCCTCATTTTTGCGGAGACCATTTAGCAGTTATTGTAAAATGAAATTTACATTTTATGAAAGCAACTCTGCACAGAAATGGAAAGTGCTCGTAAGTTGGATGTGGGACCTGAAGAAAGTTACAATTAAGATGAATATCGATAAGTAGCCGAATTTACCAAGAAATACAGAGTTAAGCCACCTAGACACGTTCTGCTCTAGGTTTTAAAAGTGTCTCATTAAATCCACGTTTATTTTCATCACGGGTTAAGACGTGACTAGAACTCAACAAAAAATACATTTAGAAGACTGCGAATTTTACGGTTGGCAATCAAACATCGTAGACACACTTGCCATGCCCATGCATGACTGTGACTGGTACAAGTGTGTTTCCTCCGAAAGATAGAAACATACATATACGTCAAACAGTCACTATAATATATCAGAGTCAAACAGTAGCAAAACACGAAAATAAAAATAAAAATTTATTAAAAAAAAAGCTTTGGGAGAGGTGATTAATTCATTCTTACCGGAAGGGAAAATGTGATGAGGAGTGCTCAGAGCTCGCCTTGTCGAGCCTTGTGCTCCACGATTACAACACGCTATCTGCAAACCGACATGCGTATACAATTTCACATATTACCAAATCATTTTCATCAGAAATACTAATCACCAGCGCTTAATATAGTCAACTAATTTCAGTTGAGATAGAAAAATGATGTAGTTAATTGAAATTTGATACGAATATGCCTTACTGCAACGGTGTAAACTAATTCCGTTACACCTAATATGTTATAAAACTGTTATTAAAACTATGCAGCGTTAGAATATGCCTGGAATTCAAAATTGTGTTATCTACAACTTTTATGAATAAATATGGGGAAGGAATGAATAAGCATTTGACTCTGAAAAACAACAACTTTGCTCAAAAATTAATCAAAAAGAATTAATATATTAATTGCCTTACTGTCATTCCTGAAGAACAATTTGAGTAAAAATGCGTTTTTTCGAAACGACGTATAATGAATAGAACAAAATAAAAGCCATTAGATTAGCTCCAAAAAAAAAGCGAGATGTGTCATAAACATTACATTCCAATCAAAAGCATTTGGAAAATACAGATCATAACTACATGAGATTAATAGGATTAATAGAATATTTGTAGATACGTGTAACTGAAAAAATCTCAGACGAAAACTGCATTATTCAGGTTAAATTCTTGCAACCAAACTTAAAAAATTGTATTGACAAGATAAGGATGGTCAAAAAGCCATTTACATAACAAGAGTAGCCATGATAACAATGTAGTAAGTCTAACTTCAGTCTACAAGATACACCGTCCCGGTGTATGTTGAAGAAATGAAATGACCCACACATTATTTATTTATGATAAGAAATCTAGAGAGGATTTCTCATATTACTGAATAAAAATCGTTAAACCGATTTAAGAACAATTTTTTTTTAAATAAACTGAAAGCTATAAGTTTCTTTATCCCATTTTGTATTTTAATATCTTGAAAAAATTATCAATGAGTGAAAAATGTTCTACAACTTATTCAACAATTTTTGACCAGTACAACGTTGTTAACACTTACTTAAACTGAACTCTATGCAATCATGAAATCAGCGTAATAAAATTTTCAAAGACAGCAATAAATGCGCCATTTTTAAATGAAAATATAGTCTTTTAACCGTTATGACAAAATCAGATGCAAAAAGTTCAATAGTGTTAATGGTTTCTCTGGTTAATAATTACTTGTTAGTCACAATTTTAGTGCTTCACAAAAGAAAACTTAGCACATACGGAGAAAAAATGAAATAATTTGCAAGAATATGAAAAGCATTGTATTTTATCAGGTGCGTGACAACTGAACTATATTAGTGCGAAATCATATTCTATCTTTTAAAGCATAAACTAGCGTATACCAATCTAAAGGAATTAAACAAACGCTAATTTTATTTTATTTTCTCATCTAGTAAGACTTTCTGAAAATACTTATGTAAAACTCCAACAGACATGAGCCAAATTAAGGAACTGTTTTCAAAATTTGATAGACGGAATTGCATATATAATATTCATGCTATGAATAATATGCAAAGATTTTGTTGCAAAATGCGCAAGATTTTTGAAAAAGTTTATTTCTCTTCTAACAAAACCGTTATCACAAAATTTGCTAGCAAGACATCATTACCACCTAGATGAAAAGTGCTCAATTCAAATCTTGACAAGTCAACATTGAAAGCGTGAAAATGTCCACAGCTAGTAGAAAATAAATGAAGTTAATTATTAGCATTATTTCACTACGGAGAACTTGCTGATAATGAAGTGAGCTAATTGTGAATCCTTTTTTTTTTTGCACTGATTAAGTTAAAATACACACACAAGAGCTAAAAAGCAAGAAATTAACAATATTTGTTAATTATATGATATTTTAAAAGCTTAAAGCTGTTCCCGAGATTTCCGTATACGACGGATCGTTTATCAATAACTGCTAACACTGCATGGTTTTTAAAAGTATTTCTAAAGCATAGCAATCACTTGGACTTTGAATCCCTAAAGTTCTCCAAAAGTAAACCATAATAAAGAATGAAGTTAAAAACTTTAAAAAATACTGATTTAAAACAAAACTATTCTTTGCAATGATGGAAGATGAGACTTGATAATATGACTTTCTAAGGAGTAAAGTTCAGAGTATTTGTGGATGCTTACTAAATCTTCACAAATTTTGAAATATGCTGCAAAAAAAGTGCCCAGTGGCATCAGAAAATGTTATTCTATCAATAACAGCATGTATGCATATCTCAGTTAATGATATAATGCCATGAAAATTGCAAATTTAAAAAACCATTAAGATGCTGGGTGAAATCAAAAGAAAACACCTAAATAAAATCTTCTCACCTATACCAGAACACTACATATTTTCAAAATTAGACATAGCTTGGCTGAGCCTCACAATCATATTAATTGTTATAAATATCCACTGTAAAATGCGCACACCCTCTTCACGATAAGCACTTTTTAAAGACAAATATGATACTTCTATCATAAAGCGATGCGAAAGCATTAGCGATAACATGCATATTAAACGTTCATGCACGTGATAACACGTATTTATACACAGGAAGCAATACAACAGGTGTATTATCCTGACCTGTGAAACAACGGTATCCTCGGTTCGTCCAATTGCAAGTAACCAACGTTGCCGCAACACCTGTGGTCGTTTAGGTATACGATAGAAATGCCGATTATCTTCCTGACCGCGATAGCGAGACCGAAATTTACAATTCGGGAAGCCACAGGTGGTAGGCATCAGACATGCGCTGACCGTAGCAGCGCGCTGCAACCATTTTAACACATCCACAATTGTTAAGTTAAAACAGAGACCAATACTAACCAGCAGCGAATAGAAGCTGACCCGACTATTACTGAGCAAATGTACAATATACACAATAAAGAAATAAATAATTGGCAGTACTAATACAGAAATGTAATACTAATATTCTATTTGCTAATATTAAATGTCTCTATTCTTTTAAGCATTTCTGCTTCCTTCGCAACTCACTAATTACTTAATAGCTTCTGTAATCAGCTCTCCTCTCATATTCCCATGGCAGCCTAAGCCACCTTTGTCTGCCAACATTCATTCCATCCGTACACATTAGCAGTGAATGCTAGGCAATACTTATTCAATAAAACCAAGCATCTAATAGCTACACTAAAACACTGCCTACTTTATTCTTAACTAATCGTTCATTACCTCATTTCTACTTAATTCTGCGTTTTTCGAAAATTTCTGCTAGCTGTAAGAATTTATAATGCGACCAAAAGCTTCCTCCCGAATACAAACTTATTTCACCTGCGCAACCAAAAATCAAATAATTTTGCTAATCAAGAGTGAATACAAAACCTATTCTTGAAATATTGGATAATAACAAAGATACAGTAGCATACTTCTTTTACTTCTTTCCATTAAGCTGTAACATTATATGTAAGCACAAAAGCTAGCAACGGATTCCACAGCGATCACAGAAGCATTGAAATGAATATTCGTTCGCAGAACAATCACAACATTTAGCACCTATCATTTAATTGTTGTGCTTTTTATGCAAAAATTACAAAGCCGTTCAAATTGGTTATTTTTTACAATTTAAAAAAAAATACTGAAAAATAGCTTTTTTTCTTGTGTACACACATGTGTATGTTGTCTGCTTTGTTGGAAAAAGGATAAAAAAGGCAGATGATTGAAGACAAAAGAAAGCATGTAGATAGGCAAATGCAAAGGAAAGATATCACAATTCTTTGATTTGTGCAGCTCATAATAATTAAACTGCAATTATGGATTGTTCAGAGAAGCTTTTTTCAACACAGTAAAGTAAGCAAACTGAGATTGAGTTTTCATGTAACATTAAATGTTTTTTGAACATAGAATACGGAGTATGAAAGAGTAGTCATATTCAATGACAATGGACGTAAAATGTGAGATTGAGCGCGAGTTCAAGAAATAATAACTAAAGTGAAGAGTTGTGACGTGATACTATTGATTTCAATCTGATATAAATGTGAACGTCTATCTACGATTTAATAAGTAATTTTAATAATCACATGAATGATGCAGCCCACAGCAAATGAGCCAGATATCAGAGTTATAAAAAATGTTTGGTAATCCAAGTGTGGTTTTTTAATCTTGCCAATAAAAAACAATACATTTTACGGCTAGATCATACATCAGAAAAGCGTTAGGTGCGCAAGATGCATGACCAAACCTGAAAACGAAACGTAGTATAATCATTTGTAAGTAAATGGCAATCAACGGCTTCGACAAAGCGACAATTTTAGATACATTCATGGTTCACATTAAGAATACCATGAACACTGATGACACTTGGTAAAAGAAGGCGATTCTTGATCGACTAAAACCGATGACATTGTTTAATGATGTAAAATTTTAGTGCAAAATATTCAAAATTTATTACTGCAACTATTACTATTATTATTGCAGTCTACTTCAGCACTAATACATCACCTACTACCACTACTAATACTACTACTACCAGTACTACATCACCAATATTAGTAATTGCAGGTGAAAAATGTGGATTGTAGCGATAGGCAGCTGAGCTTAATGACCACAGAATGTAAAGAAGTGCATTGAAGAGAGAGATTCATCATCAAGGCTCACCACACCAAGTGCTGCCGTCCGGATTGAATTACGGGCATTGACGATTACACGGACTCTCCTCTTCTGGGCCGCCATAAACAAAAATCGAATGAAAAGAGCAGCCGACGGCAACGAAATTTAATCCATGTGCCTCTTCGGCGCGAGTCGTCCACTCCAAACACACTCATCAATCAAAGTTAAACCATCTACTCGACAGGTATCAATATACTACTAATGAGTTGAGCAAGAGGATGAGGAAGAGACCACTAACTGCTCTCCGTTGAAGCTCATGAGAAGCAAAGCCCCTCCACATTCTTTTAGCTGTTTACTGCAGCACATTCTTATTATCCATCTATTCCTGTCCTCACCAATACCAAATGTGCCACTCTGTTCTGACTTTATCATTTGCACCCTCCGTTCATCCAAACCACCATCATCATCTATCCATCCATGGAGTGTGGATAATATTTATCCACTAATATGTCTCATCTTGGCAATTGTTCATATCACCATTACTGCCACAACCAACTACCAACTTCCGACTACTGCTACCACTATTACCACTATTACTAATACTACTACTAATACTACTACCAATATTACTACCTCCACCTCTTTTCCTCATTCTTTTCTTCATCTCACAGTTACTTATTATCACTATGCAAGCTTTGACCACACTTCTCACTCCCCTTCCTATTAATTAATCAATGCGATATAATGCTTACGGCTATAACTTTCATTAAGCAGAGCTTCTAAGTCAGCCAGCTGAAGAATAAGTACATTGCGTTACCGCTGCCATCACAACTAACGTTTCATGGAGCAGAAGTGATCTTTTAACTAGTATAAGGACACACAACTATAACGCCACCAACAAAGGCTTCGCTTGCCTGCCTCTCTATAACAAGGAGTTGCTGATTTGAAGAAACGTCGACAACACCCAACTCCAATTTCTTCTCATTAGATCCTTTCCGTGCTCATGTATCTTCCTCATAAACATCACACCACATCCACTACTACATAACCGCATCTCAACTACACTACAGCCACATTACAACTACAAGCCACTCCACTCTTCACCGTAGTTGAGGACGAGTGCTTTCCATAACTGAGAAACCCACCCATTAAACAGCTTCTTATCATGCAAAGAAATGGGTAATGCTATTGCTGACTTTTCCAGATAGAACGTCAAATTCAATAGAAATGTGTCCCACTCTTGACACCAAATGCCCAATTCAGCCAAGCTGCACAGATTCTTCTTCATGTTCGGAAGTCATCAGAACAAGGCATGCCTCTCATCCCATGTCACTCACTAAAATTCAATCAATTTATAAACATCTGCATCTCCCTTGACATTGCATTTATGTATTATTTTATCCACTCATTTTAACTCCCCTATTTCATCTCTCCACAGCCTTATTCATGACAGTAGTGAAAATCCCAAATTGCATTTTTGAGTCAGCCATCTTTACATTTGTGTTTTTTTAATAAAAAAAATAGATGACAGCTGCTGCATGAGACACCAAAAAACCACCTTTGTCATTTCTATTCGAAAACATTTTAACTACATATTGAGTGTATTAGCTGCTAAGTAAGTAATAACCTCCTTGTGCTATTTTTTTTCTTTGCAATTGAAAAACAAAAACAAAAGAAATAATTTTATTTGTTCATCTCTTTCTCTGCATCGCCATATTTTCGGGAAAAAACCATACTGTCTTTTCCAGAAAAAGTATCACAATGATCGCAATGGATCATAATGTATTGATAGACGTATAACATACAGCAAAAATCTAGTTATATTTTCATTCGCACAATTTACTATTTCAGCAATAACACTAACATTGTTTATCATCAATATCAGAATTGTATTGCAACAGAATAGAATGCAGCTTTAATTTCTAAAACTCGTCTCACAGATACATATTTCAATACCAGCTGGATCACGTTATTTATAATGTAGTTCAACCAAGAAACTTCTCTCACGCTTACTTTAAACTTATAAAACATACTTCAACTAATATTGTTCCTATTTTCGAAATCCTTTTAGTCAAACTTTATGAAACATTTTCATTGCTAAAGAGAACTCATTAGTCAACATGCAGCACAGAGTCCCTTCCTCCATGATTTACAAATGAAATACATGGTGATCAGGAAATGCATCAAGGCTCCCTCAAATTAAAATCATGACCATACTGCTGGTCCACAAGCTTATGAAACATCAACACGATGTTAGAAGAGGTAATCAAATGAAAATTCGAGTTCTATCAACTGAATCAGATTAAATGGTTAAATTGGTGTTAGCTCTTTTACTGGTTCACAAACTCAGTGACGTTAGCTACTAATATTATCTCTGAATGTTTTACCGAAACAAAACTTCTAAACATATCATTCATTTTGTAGTCATGATATTAACAAAAAGGGCTGCTAAGCAGGTGCATACGAGAAAAATCGGAATGTACTCAAAAATGAGTAAGAAGCAGAAATATTTAAAAGAAAAGAACGTATGCAAAATATGAGATAATTATATAAGTAAAATCAAAAATTTGCTCAGTTTTAATAATTCTCCTTGAAATGAATCAATTTCAGTAAGAGTAAGTTTTTCTTTATCAACAATATCTGTTGTTATAATTATTATCATTTTAATTTTCGTTATTCAATGAATCAACTAATTACAGAGTAAGGAAGAACATGACTGCATGTAATACTGCTAAGTATATGTAGTTAATGAAATGCACAAAATAATTTTCTTTTCGATTTCAAAACGCTATATTTGATAAAAAAATTAAAGTGTAATAATAATAAATAGTGCTTTATGCTATAATTAAAGATGAATAATACTGAACAAACTTACCGACAGTCAATTTGCTACTTCTGCTGATATACCTTAGTACATTTCGAATGTATAGAACATGCAATGAACGGTATTTTCTTCAATTATCTCTTCTAAAACAAATAAAAATCATTGCCAAAAAATTATAATTAAATTAAAATCGCTAAGGTTGTCAAATATGTATATGTAAAATATTAAAAAGTGTTCATGTATGGAATACACTTGAGTCAGAATATGCGCATGTAACTTGATGACAGAACGTAGAAAACCACTCCATGGTAATTATGAACGTTAGAGAGAATTACGAACGGATAATCATGTAAGAAATACTACAAATTATTAATCATATGAAAACAATAGAAAATACTTTCCTTTATCAAACACTATACCTACACCACATTCAAAATGCATACAACTTCTATGCCACCAAAATTGTTCTTAAGGAAACAGAAACAAAACTGCAATAACCCGGTCCTCCTCTGCTTTGGCATTCGTCCATTAAATGTTACACCTCAATTACAGCGCTAAATCTAGTTTCCTAGTAAATTTTAATCATTGTTTCTCATCATCATCTTATAGTTAATAATGATGATGTGTTAAAAGTTTGGGTCATGTGAATGAAGATCTTTGGTTAAACCGTTGATTAATCGAAATAATACATGCATTGTCAGTATACATATTAATACACAAAAATTTTAAAGAATGATATTTAAGTAATCAAATCTTAATAAAATTAATTCACTTGTTTCATTTCATAGAATATCTTTTAAAATATTTCAAAATATGCAGTGTACATTTGTAATTGATATCAGTTTTAGTTCAGTATTTCACTGAAAAAAATGAATTGGTATGTGAGATTTGTGAGGCGAATGTTTATTATTCTACTCATTGCTTTCTGTTAGTTACCATGGTATCACCACCAACTCGTTTCATCTTTCATTTACTTCAAATCTCTCTTTCAAAAAAGTTTGCTCATATATTCTATAGGATTAACGAGTTCCTTCTTTATTTTTCAGGCTGTATGCTGTAAATGCATAGTAAAAGTGAGATAAAATTTGCAGTTGTGCTGAATAATTAAAAATAAGAATTAGCTAAAATGCTGCAAAATTTGACTAAATTTTTCGCATGCTTTCAATTTATTTAATAATGATTTAGAATTTTATTAAATTTCTAGATGCATTGCTAAACATATTCTTAATTTATGATATAGTCAAATATTTTTCGACAAATGGAACACTACAACGCCTCTCTACAAAAAATTATATTTTTAGGTGAGATACTCTTATTAGTTTATTGAAATATTGGAAGGGACATTCGTAGAATTTGTTCATGAAAAACTCAAGAATGAAAATGAAAGGAATAATTAAACTTTATACATGTCACAAAAGCTTTGACAATCAAAAATTAGAAAACCTTCCATTTGAAATGACCAGTATTGAATATGTGTGTGTTGCTGATAACATTTACACTTTTGACTACTACCATTTGGAATTGATACTATCATATTTGATAAAATAAAGCAACAGATCTTATTTTTTAAACATTTTGTCCAATTTATGCCAAGTAAATTTGCGTACTGTGAATAAATAGTGTACTTGAGATTTTCAGGAGCATCTCAGGTTGGTAAAAGCACAATTGTTAAAACATTGATCGGAGAGCATAATTTTACCACTAAGGAATATATAATGGTAATATCTCAAAATAAATAATCTATTTATGTAGATGACGCAAAAGAAAGAAACAATTCATTTTCAAGTCGAAAGAAAAACTAATTTCAGCATAGAAGTTTTGTTTAAATCTAGAAGTAATTTTGATTCCCACTTTGATATTTTAGTTTTTATGGCTTATTCAACAATAAATCGTGATCATTTTCTTGTTGAAAGTATTCTTTTTAGACTCAAAATATCGAACTGCATGACAAAATCTTCATGTTTTCTGAACGTATGATCGATACTGTTCTTGTAGATACTCCTGGTCATGAATTTTTTGAATGGATGTTAGAATCGGTATGCGACAAAAATGCTTTATATGCTCTCTGTTTCGATTTCACTGATAAAGACAGTCTTTATAAGCTACGAACATATTTTGCGAAGTTCAACATTCAAAAAAGTACTATTTACTTTCTAATGGAATCTACAGTTAGGATTTTTAGTGAGAATTTCTGAATACATCTCATTATAGTTTTTATGAAAATGCGTCAGTCGTAGTTCCTTACTACATTCATTTCTTGATTATTACATTTAAAAGTTATGCGAAGTTAGAGAGATAATAAGCAGTATCAAACAAATGCTATTTTCTGAAAAATCTAGTTACATCAAAGTTTAGATTTTAAAAATAGTAAAGTACACGGCAGTGAGATCTGAAACTTGAGCTCTTTCACATGTAATCGAATCATGCTAAATTTTACGACTAAATTTATTTTCATCGAAACAGGTGAACTGAAATGACAATCTATTCAATTTTAATTTTTGCAATGAATGTCTGTATTATTTTCTATGCATTAACTAAATAGCATAAGATTCTTGTCATTTATTATTCAACATGCCAATCTGCAAAAAAAAAAAATAAAAGAAACATGAAAAAACGTTAACCTTCAACTAAAAAATTAACAGGTATGCTGATTGGCTATAAATCCGATATTAAATTGCGACAAACAATTTCACTACCAGAAGCAAACAATTTTGCAGCGACCAATAACCTAATACTTCATGTCATTCCAACGGTAATTTTCAAAGAATTTTACATCTATTTTATAGTATACGATATAGTGGTTTATCACTTTATATCGATTGTGAACATGAATAGTTTCAAATTTTAGCTTTTTGCATACTAGTATATGCCAATTTTGAAATCACAAAATTCTTCGCAAAAAATTATTTTGTTTGCTTACTTTCTTAATACACACTACTTCAGTAGCATCATTGATCCTCAAAAATTGAGCCTGCTCAGGATGGAGTGGTACTATTCACTAGGTCATTCATTATAGAGAAATTAAATTGATTTCAGTGCTCACTCCATGAAGATGACAATATGAATCAGTAGCAATGCTTACCTATTCTCAATTTATTAGTAAAGAATAATTCCATCAAATAAATAGCATTTTGCTTTTTTGAAGTTTATTAGTGGCTGCTTTCCATTATATATTCTCGTTGTTAAAATTTATTTCATTCAGACAACTACAAAGTCTGAATTGGAAGAGCTCTTTGGCAGTGTTCTTATAGAATCCATCCGAGACGGTGAATGATTTCCTGTCACTCAGTAATAGCAGCATTTGCCAGTTCGGGTAAATGATATATTTTCAAAATAGATTCATATTAATAAGACGAGTCTCAAAGATGGATATAAATGTATAGAAAGAGAGCATTTATTTCTTTTGCATGCATTTCAAACCTTAAAGAATAACTATACTAACACAGTGATGTCCATTGATGATAATTACATTCGTGATGACCAAAAATGCATTCATGCAAAGAATAGGCGCTAATCACAAAATGATTACTGTGTAAATCAAGATAACTTTGCATAAAAACAACAATTGCAACTATTGCATTACATATTTTCTGAAGATCTTTCTGGTAATGACATTTTGAGAGTATAATCGAAACACAAGATCATGATATGGTTTCATGACTGTTAAGTGCCACTAGTACATTCTAGCTTCGCTTTTTTCTTTGAACTGTGAAATAATAAACTTCATCACAGTTTTAAGGGATTATATTTGCAAAACTTATCCCTATTTTTAGTGAAATAAATAAATAGAGCATAAGTTTTACATTTATAGAGCGGACAGATACTGATCATGTTACTTAAGGTGAATCCGCACAAGTACTACATGCTAACCAATTATAAAAGTTTCTTATATGTCACAGTATGAACAAAAAGATTAAGCTATTACTTCAGCACAGTAGAGACTGATTTACGGACTACTATCTATATTCATTTCATATCCCGGTTTATTGCAAAATCAAAAGTGTTTACAAAATTCTTTATTAACCATTCATCTTCTGATTCTCTTCATTGTTTGATGAGGAAAAATTCATTGATATGAAATAAAAAGAAAGTAATCTTGAGCCAATCATGATTTACAATAGTCGATGCAGAAAAACTGAAGTAACAGTTTCCAAAGGTATGTACAGGTATCGATGAGAGAAGAGTAATTGCATTTATTACGAAGCATTTAATGCTAATAATACACATTAAACAAAGTACTTCCAACTTTTGCGCCCATAGTTATGGATTATACCAGAAATCATCTTAGTGATTTCAGCAGATACTTCAAAACTACTGAAATGTAAAACATATGAATGATGTAAATATTGCTGTAGTTGCTAGTGTTAATCAATTCATATTTAACCTCATCCATAAAATAACATAACGGTATTGGTATTCATTTGATTTCAAATCTCAGTTTTTGTAAAATACGAGCAGTTGTTGGGAAGTTTTTTATTTTTTAAGATATTTCGGAAAGATTACACAATTTTCGACTGCTTTTTTTATGCTTTTGTTATCATCTACTTGACCTGACCGTTCTAGTAGTTTAGTTGCAAATAATGGAGTTCCTTATTTAAAATTTTTCTTGTTTAATAATAATTTGTTGAAGTGAAAATTTTCGCCTTAAGTGATTTTAAAAAAATAAATTAAATTAAAGTTTTGACTGAAATGTCGGATTAATGTCCTGCATTTATTAATACATAGTACAATGTACTCAAGAATGGTTTATGTAAAGATGAATAAAATGTTTAAAATATAATCATGGGTAGTTGAAAATTTTTTTTCAAATTTAGCTATCAGAATTTTTTGCACATTAAAAAAACAAGGCAAATGAAAAGCAGTTAAAAACAAATAAAATAGAAAAATGATAAGCTAAAATATTGGTGTCTGATGAGTGTACATGATATGATATAGATGTGCAATCTTGAGTAGATATTTATATATCAAATTATTGTAGTCCCTGAATTTTTAGCATTTTATTTGAACATGAATGATAAAAAAGTGCTTCCAGCAATGAAGGCGAATAAAAAGAAACAACACTTTGTCAAATTGAATATCCTGTTTATGGCATCAACCTCGACGACAGACGTATACGTTCATCTTCCAAATTTTTCGACCAAACTATAATAGGAAACATTACCGATGATGATATAAATGAATGTCATACGATCAAACTATGAAATAAAATAACTAACATAATGCACAAAAGGTCGTAATGACAGCTAAAAATATGGACAAAGCTCCGAGAATAGTTAGCATTTTATTGGAATTTGATGTCTTCATAAATGATGTTGTACCAAATATAACTAACATAGTTCCACCTATTGCACAACTACTTGCCATTAGATAACAAATACAGCTGGAAAAAAAGTAAATATAAGAAGATGAAAAAGATGTCTTGAGAGTGCCTGCATATTACAGAAGTTACAAGCAATTCTTCTCAAAATTTTTAATTACAATTCAAAAACTCGATAAAAGTCTACCGAAAACAGGCTTTTCTAGAGCAGGTATTGAATGAGCTTGTATACGGGTAAAGTCTTCGTGAGCCTCGATGAGATCGACTAACAAGCACTGCCTAAATTTATCATTTATGTTATTCAACTAACCACTAAACTGATTGAATGTGGCATCTCGTATGCTACAATTTTTTTTATTACATCAAAAAATTCAAATTTATTTACTGCAATCGAAGTGAAAAAAAATCATCTGCTATTAACATTAGAATAAAGTGAATGAATCTAATAATCATAATGCTATACTGCAGTTGAATATACCTGCATGCTATAGGTGAAATATCATCGTTCAAAAATTAGCGCAGTAATATGAAATATCCGAATATACAGTAAATATGCATTCTTTCTGTCTTCAAACTCTTTAATATTAGCAACATATTTCAGTTTTATGACAGAAATCTGAAACAAAAAATACATATTTATATGAACAATTAACTAGTTAAATTTACTCTATCTCAACAATTTCAATAATGGCACCAAAATTACACTTTTGATTATTACTACAAGACTCAAATTCGCATAACACAAAAAAAATGCTAAAAACTAATTCAGAAATGTAAGAGAACATTAAATAATGCCTTTCAGAAATTACAAAATAAATTGAATTTCCAATCTATTCTATAAGAGTAGCTAAAAAAGAAGCAATGAAACAGCAGCAGAGAACTTTAAGATTTTCGTGGTTGGATTCTAATGTCGATTGTGTTATAATGATGATCAACTAAACAAGCTATATTATGCTAACAAATAAAGTTCCCTAAGAAAACATCGGTATAATATTCGATAAAAAAGTACATTAAAGTTTAACTGCCATATTAAATTTTTCATATCCACTGATTATCGAAAATGCAATTAGTTTGCTTTTGAACTATTTAAGATATTTGAAAATTTTTGCAACAATTTCAAGCATATTTTAGACAGATTTAAAGAGAAATGTGGTAATATTTTATATATGACTTTATAATTCTGAGAAATGGGACCACGCCTCAAGTAAAATAATTTTCAGTACTTGAAGTGCATTAAAAATAGACCACATCAAAGTAAATAAATCTCTGATTTACCATTAGCAGAAGAAAATTAAATTAAATAAAGTGAAGAATGAACTAAAAGATATTCATGAAATTCAAAGTAAAACAAAATAAACTTGATGTTTCAACATCATTTTGTTTCGATGAGCACTATTTACTTCAAGAGTAACAGTTGTGTTATAATTAAAAATATTACAATAAAGAGTCAAACAAAGATCAGAAAAACAGACAAGTTAAAAGTGGTATATGAAAGAGGGATCTGCCCACGCAATACGTTGCGAATAGAGAGAGCGTGTCTGAGATGCCAGTCCCAAGTATATACAACTCAACTTCGTGTTTCAATTCTATTCGCAAGCAAAGCTAATGACTGAATTGATGGCATTTGAAAGAAAATTGGAAAAAAAAAGCAGATAAAATATTTATATACACAATGATGTAACGCATAAGACAGATAACAAACACAAGTTAGAAAGGAACAAAAGCAATCTGTTCCTTATTTAGTGGAATGCAGAATAATAGCTAACCATCATTAAACCAAACTATTTTTAAATTAAAGACAACGGTTTTTTACTACTTCATCAACTTTGCTTTTACTCAGCCAAATTACCACCGTCAATCAGTCAATGAGCATTTTTATTACTGTTTTTTGATAGGTTTCTTGTTCTCATTAATTGCAAGTTTATAGTGCATATTCTAGTGACAGCAAAAAAAAAAAAAAA